GAGCAGGTGTTCTAGAAAGATCATCTTTAAATAATAAATAAGAAGAGGTGATCAAAAACACAGGATACTCAAAATCTCATAAACTCAAAAGAACAAACTTCACTTACATTTACTTTTTCTTTTTCTCTTTCTACACCCTCCCTCAGCATCCCAAGCAGCAGGTATAACATGAAGGCTCCTGGAAATGCTCTGTTATTAGAGCGCACTTGAAATCTTCTTACCTACCTAGAAAGGCATCCTCTTCCCTGCTGAGATTCTCCAGAATCCACTCTTTAGAATGACCAACATCAGGATAAGTCAGGGAGAGGTGCACTCACTTTTCCGCCTCCAGGTGAAGACACACCGGCTTACACAAAAACTCCTGGTTGGTCCTCTGGGCTCACACACATTTCTCCAGCCCCTCTGGTCATATGTATACACTTGCAAAATCATTTGCTCTCACCAGATCCCCAATATTTTTAAACAGGAACCCAGGTTAAGGTTTCTATATATTAAAGCCAGCAAGTTTGTTTCTCAGAAAGTGAGTTAGTTCAAGGTACATACCCAGGACAGGTGATGGTAAAATCTTCAACGAGACAAAAGAAGATGCCATGAGGATCAGATCAATTCTGCTGCACCCCTTACACAGATCTGTTAGTCTCTTGATGACTTCAGAAAACTACCTGTGAAACAGTGGTGAGTCAAAGTCAAAGTCAAAGGCCAAACATTCTAGAATAGAGGACACTCATGGAAAAGACAAGAGCTTTTCCCATAAAATTTATCCTTGACATTGATTTAGGTTGGTAAATGCACAATGCCTAATCCAAGGAGAAAAACTGGTGTGGAGGAAAACGTCTCTGCATTACAGTTGATGATGGATGCTGTCCTTCAAAAACATCAGAGTGTGTCATGTATTAGATGAAAGGAAATTGCCACTGAACTCCATCCTACAAAGAGAATAGTGTGTGTCGTACATAATGTGCCTTGTCATATTATTATATCAAAATTAATTGAGAAGGAAAGAAATCAGATGAAGGAAATAATGTATACAGTGGTCCATTTTTAACACAAAGTGCCTTGAACCGGTTTAGGTCAGCAAAGGACAGAAGAAATAGGATGTGCCAGGCTCCTGATTGGATGGGCAATACCTGCTCATTGGGGCCCCTCTCCTCCCCATTTAGTTGCCCTCACTTCAACCAAAGAAGATTAGTCTAAGATAAAAGTTTACTAGCATGGAAAATAGCTCGTTTTGTCTGTTCTTCTCAGCCTGCCCAGCTACTTAGGTCATAAGTCAAATACTTGAAGTGCCCCTGAGCTGACTAGGATAGCAATGCATTGTAGGCCGCAACAAAATGCAGTAAGACAACCCTAGAAAAATACCTAAAGTCTCTCCCCAAAAATCAATAGGCAACACCTGGGAAGATTGTGACCCCACAGTTCTCAGCCTATGAGGAACCAGGGGAGGGACCTGCACACTAGGGGATAAATTGCTTGTGGAAAGTGTGCTGGGTGTGTCTGCCCATCAGACACCAGATCTTGCAACACTGTCATTAAAAGTCTCACTTTCTGCCAGGTGGAGTGGCTCACACCTGTAATCCCAACACTTTGGGAAGCTGAGGTGGGCAGATTACCTGAGGTCCGGAGTTCGAGACCAGTCTGGCCAACATGCTGAAACACCGTCTCCACTAAGAATACAAAAAATTAGCTGGGCATGGAGACACATGCGTGTAATCCCAGCTACTCGGGAGGCTGTGGCAGGAGAATACATTGAGCCCAGGAGATGGAGCTGAGACTGCACCACTGCACTC